ATTAAGTAACAATTTCAAATATTTCATAATATGCAGATTTCATTTGCATAATCTCTAAAACTTCCTAAATCAATTTGAAACGTTTTTTTTTTCAGTAAAACTTTATATCTTATCTTTCATTTTCTATACCCTAACTCTATACGGGGTGGGTCAAATTGACCAACCTCATAACCACCATAAGCAAATACAAAATATATTAAAATTACACTTTTTTACTTTCTAGAATAATTTCAAATTGTAACTACATTATTTATCCAAAATAGCTTAAAGCTTGTAAGAGTATACATTTGTCTTTACTGAAATTTTATTGCCCTTTGAACTAATAATCTCACACACACACACAAGTTGTATATCATTCTGTAAGCATGTAGCTCATGTTACCGTATCTATCAAATTATGTATCACAGAAGCATTCCTTGTAAAATTTTTTTCTTTATTTTACTTAATCTAACCTAATAAATTTCTATTTTTACATTTTAGTTACTTTTATAATAATAAATAAAGAATACACGTGAAAAACAAGAAATATGATACTTAACTGAGTTTTTTCTTTCAACTGTCGATGAAACTTTACTTTTTTGACTAAATGTTTGCACTAAATGTTTTTATTTAATTGAATAATGCACCCAAGAACACAGAATACCATCATGTAAAAACAAGACAATGTTCTTTAACTATTATAATTTTTCAGACTTTCTAATTATGCAATAAGAGTTGTTAAAAATTCAGCCAATCTCATTGACGTGTTTCCCATAGAAATAAAGTTTGAACTGGAAGTGAAATAGACAATTCTCTGTACAGAAAATGATGTAATATAATACGTCACTTGATAGACTAAGACCTTGGCTTTCTATTTCTTGTAAACAATATAGTATTGAACGAGAAAGAGAACTAGTGGCAATTTGTGAAAGAGAGGATTTGACAGGTGGGTGTGGCAAGAGGGGTCTTATTTTCTAGTTTATGGATCTGTAATCAAATAAGATTGAAGGCTATAAAAGTTATGCTTTGTTTGAGTAATAACTATAATATAATGAGTTAATTTACATTAAATTCCATACTTCTCAAAGGAGTGGTAAATAAATTAGAGAAGAGGGAAGACCTAGAGAGCAAATTTCACAATTCTCACACTAGGGGAGATTGAGGATTTTTTTAGATATTTCTTTATAAATTTAAGAACTTAAAACTTCTTTATTATGAAAATTTGATTTATTAGCTAGATTTTGATGCCAAGTTTATACATCTATCCTGATAATAAAGTAATTTAATTAAATTTTGAATATAACTCAGTAAAACCTTGTGATGTGCAGGAAAGGGTACCCATCTGGAAAGAGTTAATTGATGGAATACTTAGGCACTGTATTTATGATGAAATAAAAGGTAAAAATGGGTGCAAACTTTCTCAAAAAGAAAGCAAAAATTTTATGGAAACCCTTTCTACAAAGTTCTGCTATCTTTGTAAGACAGTTGGCACCTTTTTTTCACCACTTTTTTAAAATATGATATTTCTATATTTAGGTTAACATCAGCAAATAATAAACAAAATTCATTTTTATAACCATGTTTGTTCCCTAC